AGTTTGTGTTCCTTTTGGACTTAACAACCTGCGATGGTGGAACTGAAATTAGTAGTAAAAGAGCTGGCGAGAGTGGTGATGCGCTAGAAGCACAATAAACATCCAAAGCGAAAGCTAGCCGAAATGTGCCAATGCTTCACTGACAGGAAACTTTATACAAACCAGTGTTCTGCTAGTCCGAGCAGAGTTAAAAAAAACGGACAAACCCCCTCTTTTTTGTATGTCCGGTAGGACATTTTTTTTAATAAACAGGAAACTAATATAAAGGCACTTAGTCTTTTTGTAAGGAATTAGTTGGATAGAGTTAGAGGTGTGGAGAAAGAGAGGCGATAATAAGTGTTAGCACAATCCTTTCAACAATCCCTCTCATTGAAATTTCTGTAATTTCTCCAACTCCTTAACTTCTGGCAAATTTAATAAAAAGGTCTCGATGTCTTTGGTTAATTCAGTATGTTCAGGTTCATGTTTTCGTCCAAAGTCCAGTTTGTAATTGGCTAATAAGCAGTGAGCTAATTCATGAGCAGTAGTGTTAATTAGTTTACGGAAACCAAAATGCTCTGAGAAATTAGGCATATCACTTTTTAAACCTGCTAAGGAGTAAGCAAATAAACTATTGAGGTGAATTTCTTTGGTGTAGATAATTAAATTGCCAATTTCTTCTTTTCCTAGTAAAGTGCGACCATATCAATTATAACTTAAATGAAAACCTCCAAACTTAATAATGGCGGAACGCAAAGGATAAATATCACCATGTTCCTTAATAAGTGTATCCTGATAAATACGATAAGCAGCATTAATTAGGTGTTCAAAATACTCTAACATGTTTACTTCTTATCAATGTCATTTTTTTTACAAATTACTTCTAAGCGAAAACTACCTTCCTCTTCCGGCATTTTATCTGCTTTTTTTTTAGCACTTAGCAATAGTTTTCGCATTTGCTCCTTGGTTAGTCTTTTTGGAACTTCTTGTTTTTTTACCATATTACTTAATTTTTGCTGAATGTTGAGGTAAAACCTATAAAGAACTTTATGGATAACAGTCTTTTTTTACTTACTCAAAAAATATTAAAAACTCCTAATCACCCAACACAGTTTTTACAAGAATTTAGCAAAAAAAAAAAAAAAAAACACTATAAAATAAGTTAATTAACACAAATTAACCAATATTATGACAACCATTAAAATCCCTTTCACTAAAAAAAGTATTAAGGAAATTCCTGCTAAGGACTTAAACGCAGGAAGTAAAGGTGTAGAATTAGAAATTCAAACTGATTTATTAGTGTCGCAAATTCACTCCTTAAAAAATGCTGTCGGTGGTAATATAACTGACGGTTCTTTCCAAAAAATCGCTTTTGTTTTTAAGGATAATGCCGAAAAGGCTTATTATGAGACTCTTTTAGATAGCAAAAACCAAAATTTTGAGTTAAGTTTTGATAAAGAGAAAGTTTTTTGAATGGTATTTGGTTTTGGAAACTTTATCGACAAAACTAAGCCCGAAGTCCAATTAAATCTAGCATATAAAAGTATGGTGGTATTTTTTGAGTCTAAATTTACCGGAATAATCACTTTGGAAAGTAAAGACGGCAAGGACGACAAGAAAGATAAGGACGACAAGAAAGATAAGGACGACAAGAAAGATAAGGACGACAAGAAAGATAAGGACGACAAGAAAGATAAGGA